GGTGACAGTAGTGTCTTAAAAATTTTAAGCTCTTTAGATGAACGTGTTCTCTTAGGGCCGTCTCAGATGCAACAGGCAACAGCAGACCTGAAGCCTCTGCCCCAGTTTAGCCAGGGCTGCCAAAAACTCCTCTTCAGTGGAGGTGAAGCTACCACGTTTATCTTTAAACGTGTAAAATCTTTCTGGTCTGGGTCAATAATACAGCTGGCAACACATTTTAGGTATAATTTCCCTGAGTCTGTCTGAAAGGGAATATACATAATATGGCACAGTTTCAGAATTCCTCACGCGCTTGGCTGAGGTCGGTGTAGTGCTCACAGTAACCAGTGCCAGCGCATAACTGTCGGTAGCTGTGGAACTGAAGCTGTGATTTTTAGCAAGTGCTTTATCCTTGGAGTGCAAAAATAGCCTTCCTGACGTTAAACCAGCGTGAGCCGAGGAGTCCGAGTCTGCCGGGGTCTCTGATGGCCAACGTTGGCCAAGCAGTCTCGGCAGCAAGGAGCGCGGCCGGTCCGTCGGTGTTACCGCCCGTGCTCGTTGGGATGTGGTGGCCTTGCCGTTGTGTCTTCGGTGTCTGGACAGAGCCTTGAGCAGAGGGGGAAGCTACTGGTGAGGCAGGGCTGCTCACGGCCGATCAGGCCTTGCCATAGTTAAAGGCTTTGGGCAGGGAACTCTGATGAAGAAAAGCAATGTCCCCCGCTGCCACCTTGCCAGTAAGAAGCATCAGTATTAAAACTGCCAGAGATCTATGCTCCGTGAACAGTATTCCCTTACTCTGATGTGGTTTCTGAGGAAATGAATTTTGGTAGTAGAGTAACCCCCATTCACTAAGGCCTTCCCTATTAAACTCTGTAGTTATGCAGGTCAGTAGTATGTGCCCAAAACGTGAAACTTTACCATAACATCTTATTCCCCTTCTCTTTCCCAGCAGCTGGAAATAGATGGGAAGCGGAGCAGTGGGAGCTGAGCTCTCCTCTTCAGCCACGGCTACTCCCTTTTAGTTCCGTAGTTGGTCCCTGGTGGCTAGGTCTCAAAAGTGAAGAGGGAGTCAGGGTATGCCTCCAGGAGGGGTGCAGGACGCAGGGGCTGAGAACACCTGTGACTGCTGGCTCCTGTGGTTTTGTGGGTTTGGGTGTTTGTGGGGTTTTGTTTTGTTCTTTTCTTTGTGTGTTTTGGTTTGGTTTTTTTGTTTGTGTTTTTTGCGGTTTTTTTTGTTTGTTTGTTTGGGGTTTTTTCTTCCACCTGACTCCACTGTTTGATGGGCGATGGCTCATCGCAGCAGCTCCCAGTAGTGGGGTATCCTTGCTCCTCTTCCCTTCCATGGCTGTCTCCTGTTCCTGGAAACACGCTTTTCTTCTAAGCAGCACGCTAGATGGCTGTGTGACTTTCAGGGAGCAATCCAGGAAGGTGCATGCTTTCTTCCCTTCTCCCTGAGCATCTTCAGCTTGGGAATCAGTGCTTTAGTGCAGAGCTTGGAGCCTGAAGGAAGCTTCCAGTTAGGTGCTGCAGTAAATAGATGACAAGAAATAAATGCAGAGTACATCCTTTCAGCTGTACTCGCATTGGGAAACACAGGAATGTGGGTACCCATAAATTTGCAAGCTTTAAGAGAGGGTATGAAGATGGTGCTGGGTACTTTAAGGCAGAGGAAATACTTGGTCTGTGTAGCATTCATCTGTTTGTGTGTTTGGCTGTTAAAAAAAACCCAGATGCTATGAACCACAAATACGTCCTCGGTAGCATGTATTTAATGCTATCATGAAAATAATGTGATAGAAGCTTTCTATGTTCTTTGTTTCCTGTTTCGGATCTGTGACATCGGTTTCAAAGCAGTTACCAAAACACATTCTCTGTTTCTGGAGTTCCATGGTCCTTCCACTTGCTGTAGACTTTTTTCTGACTCTTTCTTTATTGTCTAACAGCCTTCTCCATAAACTGAGAGGTGCAAAGTGTATCTGGTGTGGATGTTTGCATGCATCCGTGTGTTTAGACACTGCACTTCCTATCACCCTCAAGCAAAAATGCTACTGATTTGCAAGCAAGCAAAAAGAGGTCAGTAAATTGGCACTGTAGGTTTTGTATTACAGAGCAATGTCCTTCATTTGCTCTTGTTTTATCTTTACCGTAGCGTTACCAGGCTCTGACAGCCATCAGAAACTCCAGCAGGCTAGAAACCTACTATGCAGAATCCATTAGAGATGTGGACTTTGTGGGTGTGTTTTCCCCTCTGTACTTCACTGATCAGAGCTCAAAATGATTATCCAAAACAGTGCGTCTTTTTCACTGGTAGAATTGTTTTGAACACTAAGGAAATAAAAATCACTGCCCTAGCAGTTAGCCAAATGTTGTCTTGTAATTTGTGGAGGCTGATTAACTACGTACTTAGACACCGCTTTGAGGGTTTTTAATGCTCTTCTGAATTACTTTCTCTCCCCTCTCTTTTCACCTTCTCTTCCCCACAAGCCTTGGTTTCTGAGGGATGGAGAACACCACCTCTTTGCAAGTTTGCCTTCCTTCCAAAAGGAAAACCTTCCTTTTAGTTATAGCCCTGTGCTGCTGCTGTGTTGTATGTTGAGTGTCGATAGGAGGTAGTTGACTGGAAGATGCATTTTATTATATGCCATCTATTGAAGTTTGTTTTCACTTGGACGTTGAAGAGGATGCATAAGATATCATTTCTACTTTGAAACTCTTCCACGTTGGCAGAGTAGTATATGAAGACCTCTGTTTTGACAATGACCAACAGAAGTTTGATGGAAATTTTGAGATATAAAAGCTATTGGTGACCAGGTCGCTGCTGCTTTGCTAGGAGTAAGTCTGTTGTGATCAGGCTGTGGTGTTACCTGGCTGTGTTAAAGATTAAATGGCGAGTTCTGAAGGAATCGCCAAGTGAGCAGCCACACGCATCAACCTTTATTGCTCTCCCAGCTGAGAGACTTTGTTCTGTCTGTGGGACCACCGTCCTTTTATCAGCTTGGATGTTAGGAAGGTTGTACCTTCACCTGAATTAGGATGGTGTGAGGTTGCCATAGTCATAATCAGTGGCGATTTTTAGTGCTAGGTACAGAGTTAAAATGAGCTTGCTAATGACAATCTCAAACATTATTTTATAGTAGTGAAGGAATGTTGTAACCAAGGGAAGTATTTAGTGTACAGTTGTTTTGGAAAATAGCCTGCTGGCGTCAGGATTTCTGATTCTCTGATAGATATTTTATGGCATGACTTATGAGCTTACTATGTTTTTTAAAAAAATGGGTTTATGGCGATGTTAATTTTATTTTTTTTTATTGTGATTAGTCTTCTGGACCTGACACCGTCTGACTTTATGTGGCGTTTTTATGGAAAGCTTTTATTTAACCCCTTTGTTTATTAAAGCTCATGTTCTCTGCAAGTTACTTCAGTTCTTTTCTGTGGAATCCTGATTAGTCTGCTTTTGACTAATATAGCTTGTAGTTTACAGATGCACTGATTTTTGCTTGTGCGGTGGTACAGTTATTTATATTGATATGTAATGTTTGTCAAATGATTACTTTGAAGCGTAAACTTTTTACTGTTGCCCCTTTCAGACTTAATTATTTGGATAAGTGTAATTATCTTTTGAATACTTTTGAATGGCGTTCTTTGGAGTTCACTGGCACTATTGATGGATGTCACTAAATATTGTAAGTGTTTTCAGGATTTGATCCTCAAAAACAGAATTTGAGAAATGGAGAGATAAACAGAAACAAATTATACTTCTTGCCGTAGTTTAAGCAACTTTCTGATGTTTAAGTATGGGAAAAAATCCTCCAACGTTTCAACAGATACCTAAGTATTGTTGCATTTGATGTATTATTGATGTGCCTTAGTGGTGATCAACTGTGTATTTATGTATATGTAGATTGTTTATTTATAAATTGGGTAGTGTTTCCTTAGTGTGACAAACTGTCTCCTGGTAATATTACCGTTCTCAATACACTCTTCCCCGCACCCCCATCCATTTAAATCTTATTAGGCTTTATCTGTCTCTCCCCCCTGCCTTAATGCGCGCTGGCAACATTAGCTAATCAGTCATCCTGAGCTTTAACTGACATTGTCAAGGGTAAATCCCCTAAAGAACAATTTGTGCTAGAGCAGCCCGATAAGCCGTAGTCAGTGTGATCAACTGAACTTCATTAACACTCCCTTTTTTCCAGAATTACAGGGTTTGAGGATAGGTGTAGCTGCAAATAAAGAGAGTGTAAGGGTAGAGGAGAAAGTGCTGTTGTTTCCTCTAATTATTCGTGAGTTTTTAGAAAACTCACAGACTTCTAGATAAATCAGTGTAGCTTCTTACAGGATCATCTCTGGTGGTAGACTAAACTTCTACATACTTTCTTCAGTCTAACAAAACTCCTGGTTCCACCTTAGTGACTAATCATCTCATCCAGTCTAAGTAAATATTTTTTATGAGTGATACTGTGGCCACTATGGTGTGGTCCAAGTATTATAAGAATCACTTATTATTTTGCATACATTTTGTATTTACTTTGCTGTCTCATACCATAGGACCCAGTTCTTATCAACTTAGTATGACATAGTCTCTTGATGTCGAACAGTGTTACTAACAGTATTGGGGTTGCTTATTCATGGAGTAACTTTACTGCATGTAATACCATGACTGGGTGGCATGATAGAATCCAAATTATGTATCTAAGAACATCTGTTTTCACTTCTTCCTTGATTTTTTTTTTATAAACTCAAGACTTTCCTATTCAGAGAAGAAAGTTTTAACATTTTAACGGTTTATTCTACCACTGACAAAAGCAAATACTCATTACAAGAGAAACACTTGTATTCTTAGTTTAACTTGAAGCTTTGATTATTTTTTGAGGGTGTTTTTTTTAGCTTTTGATATACTTCCCCAAAAGTCGACATAAGTAGTTTTAAGATGAAAACTTACGCAAACCTAAACTCTTAAAAGGGTATTTTCCCTAATGTTATTGCCGATATGATTAATGTTTTGTTTTATTTCCTTACAGTTTTATGTGCTGAAAGAGTGGGCCAGATGACTAAAACATACAATGACATAGATGCTGTTACACGTCTTCTTGAAGAGGCAAGTATTACATCTCTTTAAGGATGCATGCACAGTATGGGAGAGTAGTACAGAAATTACAGGGTACCACTACTAAAGACTGTTGTTATTCCTCCTCACTGAAGGACAGTCTAAGTGCTCTGAGTGTATGTATACTTTATGTCATTGGTAAGGTAAATGTTCTTTCTAGGTAAAGCTCATTTGTTTACCTCGGTTGTATGGATTTATTGCTTGTGCTTATTTTTTGGTTGAGGCCATTTAACTTGCTCTTGGCCAAATATTTGCCATAATGAATGAGGAGGAGGAGAGGGGAGAATCTTAAAATGACACATATTTTTACAGTACATGTAAAGCTAATAGTACCATTATTGATGGATTTATTCTCTTTTAAAATTAAAAATAAAATTTACAGATAGTCTTGTATTCATAATAGTTATCTCAGATAATGTCTTTCCAGAGAAGTGCGTAGACACAAAATTAGAAAATATCTAATACTACGTTGTCTCCAAGCCTTTTCTTCTTTACTTTGATGGTTGGTTTGTTGGTTTTTGGCTTTTTTATACCATTATTATGTAAATTGTAATCCTTGGCACTCAAGAAATGTCAAAAAGCAACTGTCAAGCTACCATGCTTATGTTCAATAAATACCATGATAAATTGTTTGACTGAAATTAGCTGCTTTTCTGCAGTAAACTTGAGCAATGATTTTCCAAATAGTGTTTATGAACAATTCTTCGGGTGAAAACTGTTACAATTGTATTGGTTCGTGGTCGAGTGTAATGTAATCCTTTTTTTGCTTGCAATGTCAAAAATGGGGTGTGTCTAGCCAAGATACATTGGGTGCTCTGTTCTTCCCCTAGTTCTGCAAGGAAAAAGACATGGGAACGCTTACACCTCCCACCTGTGCTTGATACATCTGATCGTAGTACAAAGTCCTGCATTTTGTGCTTTGAGCTGAACTCGTTTAAATAACTCTCGATGAAATATCAGTTAACACTTATGCTTTAGCTAAAGGACTTGTCCTGGAACAATCCGTTAACTTGCCATAACAGTCTGTTACCTGTTTGTGTCCTGTTCCCTTTGTCTTGTTTGGCTGAGATTTACTTGCATTTGTTTCCGCGGCTCCTTCTAGTAATGATGCAGCGTTCTGCCAAACTGTTTCCTCCCGAGTCCGTGTAGCCAAATGTCTACAGATCCAGAAATCGGGCTCATGAGAGCAATGCTGGAAGGACTTGCTGAGCCAATGTTTTAAAGCTTCTGGTGTACTTCTCTATCTGGCTGATTGCAAAGGAAAAACAGGGGAGCGTGTAATAGGTGAAGCTTTAATGAAACAAATACTTTCAGTGAGCTTTTTTGTTTTATTTGGCAATCATTTCTGATTAAATCACTCTATTCCTAGACAGATGTGCAGTTACAGCTCCTTTCTCTGTTCTCCAAAAGATGGTTATCCCAAGAGATGACATCCCTTTGGAGAATTTAAGGTGTGACTCCTGCTACCTTCACACATACAAGCAAGAAAAAACCCCCCAAAGCTGCTACTCCTTGCCCGTCCTTCCTGTTGGCAAGCTTCAAATGATTGTATTACAAAGTTGGCAGGGTGAAAGGTGCAGCATTTCCAAGAGATTACATCCCTTTGGAGAATTTAAAGTGTCACTCCTTTTGCTACATACAAGCAAGAAAAAAACCCCCAAAGCTACTCCTCCTTGCCTGTCCTTCCTGTTGGCAAGCTTCAAATGATTGTATTACAAAGTTGGCAGGGTGAAAGGTGCAGCATTTTGAGGGGGAGACAGGAAAGAGAAGATCTCAAAACAACGTGTGTGCAGATGTTTTGAAAATCTGTGCCTATTGCCCTGAAACTAAGCAAAGGGGGTGACACCAGGCCTGCCTGGGTATGTGGGAAGACTAGAGGCAGATTCCTCTATGAACTCGCTTTCTCATCTCTTTCTAGGGGCAGACTCCCCCGTGAACCTGCTTTCTCATCCTTTTCTAATAATAGTGTAAATGTGTCCGGCTCCAGTATGCTTTTTTTACACATTGCTGTAATAAATCAGTTCCTTATCACTATGAGTAAGAGGACTACCCTCAAACTGAGATTTAGAGCTGAGTTGCTGAAAATTGTGTAGGAAGTCTAGGGAGGTTAATTAAAGAGCCTGGAAATACACTTACATTCCTCAAATTTGAGGTTAGAAACCTTGCTGCTACATAGGTCTTCCTCTGTAGAGTTAAATATTTTTTTTCAACTTCGTATTTATGAAGTGAGCCAAATTATTGAACAATAAGTTGGCTTGATATGTAAACCAAACGTTTTTTGGATAACTTTGTGGGACCTATTGTTCTGAAAGATGGTACATAAGATTATATAAAGATTTTATGGCTAGATAATGCCAGTAGCTTTCAATGCAAATGTAAGCCTGACCTTCAGAAACCATTTGGAAAATGCTGTTTGTAGGTACAGCAGTGATCAATAACCTCTCTTTTTATTTACTGACTATTACATAACTCCATTTTTTCCACTACGAAAGCCTCTTCATTCAAATTTGTTAACTTCAAATCCATGTGATCAGTAGCCGTAGGTATTGTAGACTTTGTCGTTAATGTGTACGTCACATAAGGTAGCTTTTAGTCATAAAATCTGGATGGCTCTCAAGGGTGGTAAATAAGCCCCAAACAGTATTTTCTGTGACAGGAAGAAAACTCTTCCTCAAATGATGTTAAACTAAAGGTAAGTGGGGAATTACCCTTAATGCCATTTTCCCTCTATTTTAAAGATCTTTTTGATCGTTAGTTGAGTAAGAAAGTGATAAATGGAAATGCTTAATGAACGGCGCAAAGTTTTACGCAGTTTATCATCCTCTCCCAGGCAGATTACAACCCCATGTCTTGGCTTTGCATAAGCCGAGACGTGTATGGGTACATGTCATCAACAGGATAAGCTTCCAGTTTTTAGTGGTACACGTGGTGAACTGTCTAGATGGGTTATTTCCAAATCTGTGCTCACAGAAGAGGGGGAAGAGGGGGCCAAGCACAGCATGAGAGTTACCACTTAATGTAGATTTGGACATCTAAAAAAAGGACAGGGATAGGACTTGTTTGTATACAAAAGCACTAATGGATGTTCGTACACGAAGAAGACAGGAGCTGAACATTCATTGTGGTGGAACTGACTTCTGCTCCTGCACAGCTTACTACCTTTTATTTCAAGGTGGAGCAAGGGGAAGCCGAGGAATGCTTTGAAATGCCTAAATTCTTTGATATTTTTACTGTGCTTCTGAATTCTTTGAAATGTAACCTCTAAAGTTCTGTGATTGCATTCTGCAAGAGGTATGACAAGGTGATGGAATAGTTACCCCCAGTAGTTGCCTCAAACAAAGCTGTAGTAAAGAACCAGATCTGGTTTCACTGGTGGTGGTCTGCTGTAAACCTTGAAGCTGTGCCTTCGTGTTCAATAACTCTGAGTGGGTCAGTCTTTTCTGAACGTGGATGTAACATAAGCAGGAATAGAAAAAGAAAATTAGCAAAAAAGCAACTAAACAAACCCTTACAGAAAGAAAAAGTCTTTTTATTGTTCAAGTACTTGTTCCTTCCCTTTCATTACAGTTTTACCCTCCCTCTAATCCTTTGGTAAACAAAAAATTTGAAATTAGCTTTCTTTTCTTAATGCTTCACAGAAAGAACGGGACTTAGAGTTAGCTGCTCGGATTGGCCAGTCGCTGTTAAAGAAGAATAAATCACTGACAGAAAGAAATGAGTTCCTGGAGGAGCAAGTAGAACACATCAGGGAAGAGGTACGATTTTTATGCCTGAGTGCTGTATCTGCACTGATGGGGAGAATTTTCCTTCTAGCTGCACCTTGTCCGTACTTCAGTTTCTTGGGCATCCTGTCCATAGCAGATCAATCTGTGTTGCAGCAGTTTGGTCAGCTGTTTTTATAGCATGTACACTCTTAGAAATGTGATCAAAAAAGTAATTTGACCTGTTGGCTCTACGTAAGGATCCTTTTATCTTCTACCTTAAATTATTTCTGAGATAGGTGTAGCTATTTCATGACATAGTTCTGAAGCTGAGGGAAGCCTTCAGGTCAGTGGAGTGAATTAAATGCCTGAAGAGATGAAGTCCTGGGAGCCAGGCATGGTGACAGCCCGTGGGCCTTGTCCCATGTGGGGCAAGGGCTTGGTCTATGTTGCTGGGTAACAATACGTCGTGCAGGGGTAGCGTGGTCATGTTTTCTCCGAAGGGTACATGTTGCAGTAGCTTCTGAAAATGTAGAAGAGGTCCTTTCTGTTCATAAAACAAGTCTTGTGTTTTGCAATGCAAAAATGTGTACTGGGTCTGGCTGAGATGGAGCTAATATTCTTCATGGCAGCCTACATGGTGCCATGTTTTGGATTTGTGACTAAAACGGTGTTGATAACCAGTGTTTTAGCTATTGCCGAGCAGTGCTTGCACAACATCAAGGCTCTTCCCCCACCCCTTTCACTCTGCCCCACGTCTGCACAAAATGTTGTGAGGGGGCAGAGCTCAGATAGCTGACCCGAACTGACCAAAGGGGTATTCTGTGCCTTATGGTGTTACGCTCAACCTGCACAGTAAAAAAGTTGTACCTGATGTTCAGGAGGAACCTCCTGTGTTTCAGTTCGTGCCCATTGCTTCTGCTCCTGTTCCATTAAAAGGTCACCCTTTCTGGCTGTTCACCCTCCTTTGGAGAACTGGAATGCTTGGAAATGGCAGTAAAAATAGTATCCTCGGCCTTTTTAATTCATAGAGAAAAAAGTGCAGCAAAAGCTGGAGATGTCTAGTGCCCACCCACTGACAGTATCTGAATCCTTGCTACTTAAAGAGACTGAGCCATGAATGATGAGCTGGAGGGAAGTAAATTGTTGTTTTTGGCTCAGCTTTTTAGCTCGTCCTGAACCCAAAATTAATGCATGGATTTTGTTTCATGGTTTTCTAAAATGTGGTTGGTTGGTTGGGGTTCCCCCCCCGCCTTGCATTTTAGAACCGATATCTCAGGAGGACTTGGTGCCTTAGCACATCTGATTACACGGAATAGCCTCAGTAAAGTAAATGACCTTGTTTGCTTAAAATTCCGCACAGTTGAAGTGCTTATTGCATTGAATCTGCTTTTTGTTTGATGAAAATGCAGCTTAAATCTATTTATTGATATTCTCTGGGTTTTTTTGCCAGTAATAACTACAAATATAAATATGCCTACAATACAAAAAGCAGAAGTCTAATAAAAACAATTTGTGCATTGGAAAGTGAAAACTGAGGACCAAGTCTTGCAGTGCAAGTGGAAGGGATCAGTTATGCTATTTATAGCTATGCAAAGCAAATAAAAATTAATCTCTTGCCACTGGGGTCTTAAATTGCAGCTGTGAAGTGGTCTAAGTGCTACTGTGTAATTGGGCTTTTAACCCTTTTCTTGGAGCAGCGCAATATAAATTAACCAAGATTAAGTTTGTGGAGCTCACGATTACAGGGTGTCTTAACTACCGAATTTTGATGTCTTGTCCCTTTTTGGTACATGTATGTACTAAGTATGGGACTCTCACAGAGTACTTCGCTAGACTCGTGTTTCAGAGTCATCAAAACCCAGACTACACCCCGAAGCTGACTGCAGCCTCCACCGTTGCAGCACCCTCCGACTGGCAGCCTGCTGCTCTGGGGTGGTGTTCTGCAGCTCAACAGGCAATGCAGTCCCAAAAGTAACCTGACTACGCAAGCATTTTAGTAATTATCTCTAAAGTCTCTTGGAGAGGAAGAAATGTTGATATCTGAGGTCTGCAAGATCTGTATCCAAGCCAGAAGGTGACAGTCATCACACAAAAAGGATAAAAGTGATGTTTGGCTTGGTTGTGCCACATTAATTTCTTGCAGTATCATTGCAATATATCCATTTCTGTGGATGTGAATGTAGACTAATGCAATAGTGAATCAGGATTGCTCATCTTAAAGAAGGTGAAAGAGAAACATGTCTAATAGCAATGGATAATTGCATTTTTGAACTTCTGAAAAGGAACATTTCATGGCTAATTTAAAAGGTACACTTTTCCTTCTTCCTAAAAAATAAAGGAACTGGATCTGGTCTGTTCCAGTCTTGGCCTCTTGGTTTACTCTGAAGATGATGCTTGGAGGATGAATAACTAGCTAATTTGTAGCGGGTTTACTTAAGAATGTGCCTAGAAAATCAGCTTACTGATCTGCAAGCTCTTCCTTTGTGCAGGTTTCTCAGTTGCGGCATGAGCTCTCCATGAAGGATGAACTGCTCCAGTTCTATACCAGTGCTGCTGAAGAAAGTGAGCCAGAGTCCATCTGTTCCACCCCGTAAGTGAATCGATCTACAACGTCGAACCTTTATCTGGCACTAGGCGTGGGTAGTTTGGACAATTTACTAGCTTTGAAAAGTAGTAAGATGATCCCTGTACCAACTGGAACTGTAGATGGGACTCTGGAGGTGGTGCTTGGCACCAGCTGGCAGGAATTGCATGGGACCAGCTGGCTCTGTGGGTGCCAGTAAGAGTCCGTCGGGGAGGGTGCACAGGGAGGATGCTGAGGCAGCGCCGTGACTTCACGGGAACTGGGTCACCGTGGCGGTGAGGCAGACATAAGTCTCACTTACAGTGCCCTGCAACACCACGTACCTTTACACGCTGTGCTGGAACCTGCTACGTGTGTGACCTTTGCGCTTGAGGGACCTGAAGGCACTATGGAAAAATTCCAGGCAGAGGGAAGGAAGTAAAGGACGACGTATGGCGTGGGTTTGGGGCAATTAGCTGACTGAGCAGCACGGCAGGCTCTGTGGGGCCGTCTGCCCGTGCTTGCGGAGTTGTTATTGCTGTGTTCTGGTCAAGCATGTGCAGCATTAATCAGGAAGCTGTTGGGTTGCTCCCTGTAGTAAGGTGGTTTCCTTTCTCATAGTCTTGGCTCAATAACTTTTCTATAGGAAATGTGTGGAATAATAAGTAAATTTTAAAATGTTCTCCTTTAAAAATCACTGCAAACATATTGCTGCCCAGACATAGTGACATGAACAAGCTGTATTTCCTGTGGCTCTGACTGGTTTTGAGACCTCTGTTCAGTCTATTCTTCTGTGAGATTGGCTATAACACAGGTAAAAGTGAGTTTAAAACTGTTGTTTTCATTACAAGGCTGAAGAGGAATGAATCTTCCTCCTCTGTCCAGAACTACTTTCATTTGGATTCTCTTCAAAAGAAACTCAAGGACCTTGAAGAGGAGAATGTTGTGCTTAGATCTGAGGTGAAATTGCTCCCTTTATGTTTTGCTTAACACAGTTTTTCATTTAAATGCCAGAACACAGATATTGAGAAATGTGTATTAAAAGTTGAGAGACACTAACCAAGAGTATATAATTCCACATGTGACATAGATCTCTTTGTAGTTGTTTAATCGGCATCCTTTATCCTTCTAAATGAAGGAAAGGCTGAAACATGGAAGCTGCATGAAGCTACAGCCAAAGCAGTTTCCTTGCCAGAAGGATGTGCAGGAGCATGGGCAGGTTTTGGAGTCCAGCACTGCCCTTTGAAAGAGGTCTCAAAGGGCTGACCTGGTGGACCTGGGTGACTTTAGCTGCAGATTTGAAGTTTGTAGGCTGGCATGGTCTCTCTAGTACAAATTCAGTGTTTGTCAAAATAAAAATTGCTAGCCTAAATTTGCATTAAATATCTTCAATTTGTGTTTCAAGTCAGGCTGTTAATATTTGAAGTTGAATATGTTTTTCTTGCCTTTTATTTCCAATAATAGTCCTATTTGTTTCACAGACGACACAGTTTTTAAAAGCTTATTTACTGTTCCATATCTGTCAGAAATAACACTTCATAATTGAATATCCTATGAATAATTTTTTATTTTCAACACAACTTTTAAACTTGGGGAGCATGTTACCATTTTGTAGACATGTAGCAGGGTATAGCAGAAGTAGTACTTCCGAGCTAAGGGTGAATGTTTGAAAACAGTATCATTACCATTTTCTACTGCAAATGCAGGGCCCATTGCAAATAGGTAGTGTCACGTCTTTGGACAAGACACCAGGTAATGGAGAGCGCTGTGCGCTTCGTTCAGAAATCGCGCAAGGAAGATGAGCAATAGATGGTTTGAGAATAACGAAGGTAGGGTTAGAACTGCGAGAGCGGCTGTGCCAGGAGCCGAGAGGAGAACCCCACGTAGCTCTGGCTTCCCTTCCAGGGAGGTGCCGTCTGTGCCAGCGAGGCACGGGATGGAGCCAAGCCCGACACCGCGGAGCTATGCAGTTCTCTGCAGATGCAGCCTGTGGGTGTCTGTGCGTGCCCCCGCCGTGGGGAACAGGTGACGGACCCACCGCGGCAGTGCCAGGCAGAACCCGCTGGGCATAGCTGCGCTCCGGAGCGGGAAAGACAGAACAGGGGAGGAGGGTAGCACTAAGGTTTTATGTGGGACAGGTGGTTACAGTGCCAGAAGTTTTCAAACACTATCCGGATGTTTTTTAAATACTAGAATGCTTAATTCATTTATTTAAGCCAAGCATTTAATTAGTTTGTGATGATACCTAGCTTTGTTCAGGGGACCAGATCAAGCTCTGCGTGCTAGTCTCTTGTACGTTCAGGGCTTTTTTTCTGGTTTTAGTGCAAAACAGGCAAGGGACATCTAATGGGGATGTGGTGGTAAGGAGGGAAGTTTCTCCATACAGTAAGGTCTCTGCTGAATGTTCACCTGGCCCCTTTTTCCAGGGGCAGGGCAGGCAAAAACTGTAGTTTCTCACTGTCTTCCCGGAGGAATGATTAGAAAAGCTTGTCTTTCTGAAGCAGATGGCAAAGCAGCAACAGACTGGCAAAGAACAAACGTGCTAACGTAGCGTATTTGATGTGGATTTCTTGAATAGGCCTGTCAGCTGAAGACTGAAACAATTACTTACGAAGAGAAAGAACAACAGCTTGTCAATGACTGTGTAAAAGAGCTAAGTATGTCCCTATGTCTTTTCACTTCTCATTCGAGATAGTTCAGTAAAAAAACCAAAACTGAGTCAAATCAGTCAGTCATGTTTTTCTGTGGTACTTATTTTCCTTATATAAATGGTTGTGAGAAGAACATTTCTGACTGAAATTTCACAGCAAAAAATTCTGGCTGTAAGCTAAATCTTTCTCAGTTGCGAAATAGTTCTGCATTGAAAATGTTAGTGTTAAGGGAAAGTACAATCTCCTCTGCAGCATGAGCACTTTGTGTCTTTCTGGTTTTGTGTCCTACTGTTGTTTTTCAAAAATACCTTGCTGTATTCAAAAATACCTCGGGACAGGATTCTGCTGAATCAAGTGATGTTCCAAACGAACATTTTTCTGCTTACTTTTTTGCTTTTGGGTTTGTGATGTTAATTGTAATCGCTTGTCTTAAAGGGGATGCAAACATCCAGATTGCCAATATCTCCGAAGAGTTAGCAAAGAAAACCGAAGATGCTGCCCGGCAGCAAGAAGAAATCACCCATCTTCTCTCTCAGATAGTCGATCTGCAGAAAAAGGCAAAAGCTGTAAGGAATCCAGTTGCAAGACTACTGTTGTGATTTGCTGCTGTTGTAGCTGGAAGAAAAGTTACAATCCTCTCTATACTCAGAGCCTAAAGGAAATTTTTCACCCTCCTTATCTGGGTGACCTTGTTTGATATCTAGCATACTTGACTAGAAAGCATCAATTTATTAAAAGATGCATATATGATATATCAAATGTAATAGTTATATTAGATGTGAAATGCTTCACTGAACTTAATGACTTCGGTAAGACAAGAATGCCACTGCAAGCATTTCAGTGGGCACACTCGTTTTTTTTAGGGTCTTGGAAGTTCATTTAGCAGGGCTCAGACTGGTGCTGGATGTTTTTGTGTTAACGTTTTAAATGTTTTTAAACTAACACGTGGACTAATATTGCTGCAGAGAGGGTCTTGAGAAAAGTTAAAGTTTTCTTACTTACTTGTAGTATAGGATACAAACATCATCACAGGACAAAACATCATGGTGTTTCTAACATTTTTTTGGCATATTTTAGTGTGCAGTTGAAAATGAGGAACTTGTCCAGCACTTGGGAGCAGCTAAAGATGCCCAGAGACAGCTCACAGCAGAGGTGAGTACATTACTTAGTATTACAATAATTTAGTAGTGGGGCAATGGCAGTTCCCTTTACCATGAGCGTTTTTGTCTAAGCTGGATCAGAAGTATTAAACAATTTTGCCTACGTGTATGGAATGCAGGAACATCTGTGTTCCTGGTAGAGTTCAAAACCTTTTCCTTCCTGTTCTGTCCTTCAACTGGCACATCTTTTGGAAAACAGAGGCTTATGGTCTATATGGGAACCCCTTTAGAAGTTGACTTTTCTAGGCTGGTAGTTTAAGCCTGTTTTGAATAGTGAGATAACATGGAAGAGCTTGTTCATGCTGTATTTGTTCAGTGAATAAACCAAAGGCAGTCCAAGATTGCTGCCTGTCTTCTTAGTGCTACATTCACATGAACAAAATGGATGAAATAGATTGAGTAAAGCTTGATCCCCTTAGGATGTGTCTTGTGCTTGGACTACTTGATGTTGA